GGGGGGGGGGGGGGGGGGGGGGGGGGGGGGGGGGGGGGGGGGGGGTACCCACGCACCGTGTCACGAATAGCCAACCTGTTCACTGGCAACGTATGGAGGAGTACGCAGAGAAAATGCTCGAGAGAACGGGGACCGTTCTCCTGGTCGGGTTGACCCGTACGGAGAAGGGGTGCTTGCGACCTGGTCCAACGCACTTGTTGATCGCAATGTTTCTGAAAACTTCGTAAACGGAAGCGGAGATATGACATCTCTCCGGTGTTGTACGGACAAATATCTCCCCGAGATGCACCTAACCACGGGATCACTTGCAAACGCTAGAACCGCTCCCCGGGTGCAGAAAGGGTTTCCATCTCGGAGGAGTAGGCGTGTTAGTTGGGAGATCTGATGCGTTCTCCACCGGATTGGCATCGCCCTGCCGTGCTGGGAAGCAGGACATGTGTACCTTTACCCGTCCGCCCTACTCTCCGTCCACCAAACTCCAAACTATCTGGAGCAAGTCGCTTTGATCTCGCGTGTCTATCCGTCTAACCCGCTCCAACAAGAGAAGCCATCACCGCGCCAATCTCCCCCTGCCTCGTCCTTGACGCCTCACACGTGAAAGTGGAAGAAAGTCCCTGAAGGTTTTAACCCGTACCTGGTACAGAAGTAGCGATGTTGCTTCTTCTTGAAAGGCTCGCGTGCCCAGTGGGATGTGGCTAAAGGCTATACCTTCCCTCCCACCCGCGCACGCTGCCCCCCACATGCGGTCAGGTCGAGGCGATTGCACAATGGACTCCCTTTCGGAGCAAGGTGTGTGCACTGAAAGCTCAAACCCGTGTATCCCTCGCCGTCGGCATCGGGCCACAGCCGTGCCAAAAATGTTCCTGTAGGCATCGCTTGTTCTGGCAGGAAAAAGAATATTGTGGACATTTTCTCGTATGATGTGGCGTCAAGCAACCTGCCATCTAGCACGAAGAGAGGAGGCGTGCATGTGTGTCGTAGCCCCGACGGTTGCTGTTTATGTGCAAGAGCCGACTTGTCGTGCTATCATTCCAGGATCATGTTTCTCATCTTGGTCACAACTTCTACATTGCCCATACTACCAACCGCTTGGTCGCCCAACAACAGACCTCTTATGCGCCCCTTTCCGTGCTCCCCTTGTTTTCCCCCTTCTGCGTTCATTGTTTTGCCGATCGTCTTCGCGCGTGTCCAACCAATCAAACACCCTGGTGGGCGTGGGCCCGGAACGCGAAAAACAACCACGTTCGGGTTGATTTTGGTGCCCCGAATACCTACTCCTCGCCCGCTCGCTTTCGCTCTCCTGCACGCTTCGTGCTGCGACTGCCTGCGGCTACAGCTAGCGTCACCTTGCCAACCGGACAAACCGTCACCAAGAATGAGGTGCGGCGAGAGCGCCCGGAGGTTGTTGTGTCTTGTCGTCGATGCGAATGACGGTGATAGCGGGTATCTCTCGGGATCCTTGGTTTGACGCAGTCGAGTTTGGGTATTATCGCGCTGGCTCAGCGCAGCGCGGACCACCCACATGAAATCACAGGGAACCCCCATGTACCTGTGTTGTATTTCGTGCTGTAGTACAACGCTTGTTTCATTCACCTGCTGTCTGCCCCATTGCCTCTCCATCGAGTTTCTTTGGGACACAGAACGAGGGTTCTAACGCCAGCATATGATGTACCTCGCCCTCTCGCTCCCCGAGGCGACAACAGTAGCAGCACTTCTTGATCTCCTCGTTGCCAAACGCGCGTCGTGGTCACCCTTTGCTCCGGCTCCGGACGGGCATGTAAACGTTACACGTGCCTTGGTACCCCCTTGCACCCCTCCTACGAATTCCAACACGCTCGCGGCGTCATTGCAAAGATGGCCACTTTGCTGAGTATCCCGCCCCCGCGGACGTTCCTTTCTTCGTCCCGTGCTGTCTTGTCCGCAGTACCGGCTAGCGTGCGACAACAGCATGGGGGACACGACCGTCGGCGAGACTTCCCTCCACGACGGGAAGGTGACCACGAAATTGAGACCGTGTTGTTTCCGCACGAGTGTTCTTGTTCAAGTTTTTTCCATTCGGTGGTCAGTCAGTTGTAGATTGGTGAGACGGTCCAGTCTCTCTTTGTTAGTTTCAGTATGAGATGTGAAATAAGATGGGTGTATTTTGTAAGGCTTTTGGTTCCGCCCAATAAACAAGTGAGCAGAATGTAGGGGTTACTCAACAGCCACGCACGCAAATGACCTTTGGCCGCGCTTTGGAGAGGCTTGTGAGGGGGGTGTACTCATAGTCGTGCATGCCGTAGTCGTTAGACCATTGACCTCGCATCCCTACAAAGCCGGGACGGAGCACGCCGGGTTCTCACCGGACCAGGCTCTCACATCACCAAGCGCGAAGCGCCGTGAGATATTCGGCGAGTCGCATGAAGGGTGCGCTGCATCCTGCTAAGGGTGTTCGGCATCTTGTGCTTACTTCCTTGCGTACGGATGACAGCTGCGTATGAATTAATTTATTTTCTGGTGCTTTCACTTCCAGAGACAGTTGTAAGCACTGTGTAACTGCCTCGAGGGTGCTTGACCATTTTAACACAACGTGGTGCGATCATCCCCCTTGCGCGGAGCGAGGGTTCTCGACCCTGCACAATATGATCTACTCGACCACCATGATGGTTACCGCCAAACAAAAAACAGGGGAAAAAAAACGGTGACCTGGTTGCCGAGCTCACGAAGTGAATTGGCTTGTGATACGACGTCGTTGCCAAGCGACGAAAACCCAACCCCGATGGCAAACGCCGGG